CTTAGTTAAATAATCTGATAGGTGTGCACTGAAATGCTATTGCATCTAAAACAAACAAACAAAAACGTTCACAGCATTTCTCAAACAGGATTTTTTTAAAAAAAGAAAATGATGCAAACATAGTTCAATTGCTTACTACAATTGCTCCATGAGATGTTGTGGTAAAGCTAATCTTTTTTTTTTAATGTTTTCCAGTTATCACATATGGTACTTAGACATGTTTTCATATTTAAGCAAGGAGCTATTTGATAGGTATTTGATAAGCTGATATAATTGTTGTTAATCTCTGTAAATTGATAATTTGGTGTTTGAAATAGTATACTGAGATATGTCTGAGCTCTGTGAACAAGTTGATGAGATGCTGATTATTTTATGTGGATATGTAAGAGGTGTACTTTTTAAATGGTTACATGTGTGAAGTACAACCCAAAAAATGTTTAACTGAAGTTTAGAGCTTAGTCATCTTAATAAAAGACCAATAAATCCAGAACATCTCTGGATTTTATTCAGTAATAAAAATAAAAAATGGTTCCACTCCACTGGAGTAACCAAAATCTTTTCATTTCTCAGTCCAAATAAAGAGAAAATAGAAAAAATATTGAATCCAAGCAAATTGGGAAATACACAGTTGCTTCTTTCTTATTGAAGAGGAGGGAGAAGTAGACAAAATTTATCCCTCTTAGAAAGCCAACATTGGTCTTAAATGATTTTCTAAGGTACCTGAGTTTCAGCACAGAAATGAGGAAAAAGATTGTTTAAAAACTCAGCAAAGTTTCATTTTTGCAAAAAGAAGCCTCTATATTTTGCAGTCGGTTATGCTATAGTAAATCCAAAGCTAAATTGAATCATTTCTTAAGTTAACATCAGAATTGGATCACTGTTTTCACTGCTACAACATTCTTCTGTAGACATCTAATTATTTTTAACAAGCATTTTTTTTAAATTCAGCTTTAAAGTTTCTCTGATTGATTGTTGTCATTGCATTTTACAGAATTCCATATTTTAATTTTTCTAAGGAAAAATAACTCTTCTTTCATAGTAAAGGCTTTTATGCTGGAAGGACATCTGTGCAGAAATTAACAAGACTTTGGTTTTGTAGATGCAAAATCCTTAATCAGTCAATTGAAGAAGTATTTATATAATATCATAGACTTCATTTCTTTGGCATTAAACTACATTTTTGTATCTTATTGGGTTGTTACAAGACTATTTTGTTAGTTTATGACTTGTTTGGGATTAGAAAACAGAATAATTTGATAATTTAGGTTAAACTATGTGTAAGTGCAGTCTTTGAGTATGGAATTATTTGGTTCAAATTTTGAACATAAAGGTTAAAACAAACAAAGTCTTTGTTGGCAAGGAGTTATAGTTCAGAAGTAATAAAGTTCTTGGACTGGACCAACAAATTATGGCTGTAAATACAAAAACAACAATGAGTAAAGACTACTTCTTTGTTGTCATCTAGTGTTCATCTAAGTTTTTACAGTAGCCCTGATTTAGAATAAGATAATTTTTACATTAAAAGAGATTTCAAACTTTCTTATCCATTCCTCTCTTTAATGTAGGATTTACAATATAGTAATACTCTCTACGGTTATACAGATGGACTCCCTAATTATCAGAGATTAAGCCTTGACTTCCATACAGTTCCTTCTAAAACAAAGAATAGTGTAGAAATTATGAGAGTCTGAGGCAGTGGTGGGTTTCAAAATTTTTTGCTACAGTTCTGTGGGTGTGACTTGGTGGGCGTGGCAGGGGAAGGATACTGTAAAATCTCCATTCCCACCCCAATCCGGGGAAGGATACTGCATAATCACCATTTCCTCCTGATCAGCTGGGACTTGGGAGGCAGAGAATAGATGGGGGCGGGGCCAGTCAGAATTTTTACTACCGGTTCTCCGAACTACTCAAAATTTCCTCTACCGGTTCTCCAGAACTGGTCAGTACCTGCTGAAACCCACCTCTGGTCTGAGATATTGAGTTGCAGATGGTTTATGAAGATCAGTCTAATTCATAGTAGATTAGCCTTTCATGCCATGTCTCATTTGAACTAAGCACATATCAAGCATTGAAAAGCCAGGCTTTAACGTGGTTTAATGCTAGAATTGGGAAGAGCATCAGTGGAGAGAGAGAGAGAGAGAGAGAGAGAGAGAGAGCAAAAAACATTGCAAGAGATCCCCCCTCATGTTTTTTTCAGTTATTTTAAGTAGCAGTTTAAGTTGCTTTGGCTGCTTGCTTGCAACTGCTGTATTCTGCAGTAATAATTGCAGAGCAACTTTTAATCCTTTGAAACTTGAGACAAAAGATAGGAAGTGAAAAAAATACTTGTGTCTTTCAGGCATGACCAGAAACCACAGTTCTAGATATTTTGTGGTGTACTGACAACATTCTACTTAGGCTTAAACTGCAGCAGACAAAAGATTGTCCCGATGTGTGGTATAACTCGGTAATTTGTCTCTCTGCTGTTTCTTTTTTAGACCTTTAAGTCAGTGTTGACTCCCAAGTACTGCCTAGACAAGTCCATACAGTCTTCTTGGCAATGTTTTTGAAAGTGGCTTGCCATTGCTTTCTTCCCAGAGCTGAGAGAGAATGGTTGGCCCAGGGCCATCTAGATGACTGTGTGCCAGAAAGTGGGACTAGAGATCCCAGTTTCCAATTTCTGTGTTGGTGCTTTAACCTGTACACCAGGTTAGCTTTCACCAAAGCTGTCCCTCTGCTTACTGCCTTTAAAGAAACAGTTCTCGGAAGGAAGGGGGTACTTATTTGGTATTCCAGATGAGGTTATAATGGTTAAAATATGGATGTCTGCAGAGAGGGATTTTAAAGAGGTCAGTCTGATAGCTGAGCCCACACAACCAGTGCTTTAACCATTTTTATGTGTCCTAAACACACACACACACACAAAACACTATAAATGTTTTATGTAAAGCTGTGAGACATTTTGGTTGACACTTCTAAATAACTGTGTGGTCCTGATTGTCACCTGATGTTTTATTTTCCAATTTAGGAATCGGCAACGTACAACAAAGTGGCGTTCCTTAATCCAGCTATGCAAAAATTCAGACCTGAATTTGCATTTGATGAAAGACAGTCAGATATACTTAACCAAACTATTGAATAAATCACCATGCACAACCGTGTCATTATTTGGTTTGTTCAATCTTGGCTACATAATGGTGGTATGTTCACAAACCTGGTTTAGAATGATATGCGAAACCAACCATGTCAGTCAAGAGATTGGCTTTTAACTGAAAATCAGATGTCAATCATGCATAAATCATGTTTTCTTGGACATAGTTCCTCGGGAGCTTCTTTTTAGAATCAGATATTTTTTTATCTCAAAATTAATGAATTCCCAATTGAAACTTAAGTAATCAAACTGATATTGCTACAGCTATAGATAATACTCATTTTAGCAATTGTTCAAAGTTACAATCGCACTGAGGTGACTTACGATAAGTCCTCACACTTATGACCATGGCAGCATCCCTGTAGTCACATGATCAAATTTTGGGCATTTGGCAACCAGCATGTATTACCTACAACAGGGTCATGGCAGAATCTTGGGGTGATAGGATCACCATTTGAAACTTTCCGACATGCAAAGTCAATGGGGAAAGCCCGATTTACTTAATGACTGCATGATTCAATTGAGAACTGCAGTGATTCGCTTAACAACCATGGCAAAAACAGTTAATATAATCCATCTTTAACAGCCACCTTCCTTAGCAACGAGAATTGATCCCAATTGTGGCTGCAAGTCAAGGACTATCTGTAATTGGTTTCTCTAATCTTTTTAGTCTTCTAAACATTTTGAAGATATTTCAGTTTGACATATAATGTTAAACTTTTTAACAATAATGGTCATTTGCAAGCTAATGCTCCCAAACTAGCATTTATTGGAGCTGAGACATACCTGACTAAAGTTTTCCAAAAATGCAGGGTTTCACAAAGCTTATGCTGGCATAATTTAATTATGGCAGGTCTTGAGATAAACAATTCCAACGGACATTTCATAATTTAATAAGCCACAATTTGCTAGATTTATAAAACAGACTGTGCCATAAACAATAGTTTCAAACAACAAAGGCTTGCTTTGTATAACACATACTAAACCAACATAAAATAAGCCATGTTTATAAATTAGTGCAATGGATGAACCACTTTTATGCTGTTTCTAAGCTGTAGAAGAGTTTGGCAGAGAACAAGTTTGTTAATCAAATTTAACATAACCTTTTAATTTTGGGGCTTTGGTATCTTACATCAGAAAGAAACCAGAGCATAAATCTCTTTAGTTAGTTAATGACTTTGTCCTTTTTTTCTTCTAGTTAAAAGAATTCAATGATCTCAGGTGAACTTAGGTAATCATATTATAGATATCTTACTAATTATGTTCTTTTGTAGAAGAACCAGCAGGTGCATTTTTTGCTAAACCAAAATGGAACTGAGTGTGAGACAGAGCTAGACACTTTAAAAAAAAGTTAGCTAAACCATTAATTTTGATTGTCATGTACAGCTACCATATTTGCTGAAAAGTTCTGAACAACCGCAAGATGATAACAAGGAGATTCAGAATTCAACCAGATTTTTGCAGCCTAATAACCTTAGTGTGACCTCAACCTGTACTGGGGATCTCATAATCTTTGTAAGAAACATAGACATATAATTAGAGCAATACTAGAACTAGAAAGTATTGCATAGGCATGGGGCAACTAGAATAACAGAGATGGAAGGGACCTTGGAGGTCTTCTAGTTCAACCCCCTGTTTAGGCAGGAAACCCTACACCACTTGAGACAAATGGTTATCCAATCTCTTCTTAAAAACTTCCAGTGTTGGAACATTTACAACTTCTGGAGGCAAGTTGTTTCACTGATTAATTGTTCTAACTGACAATAAACAAAAGCTTCCTATTTTGTCTTTTTTCCCTCAGCTGGTTCTGCTAGCATTGATGTCCTTTCTACAAAGTTAAATGTTTCAGGTTTTTGTTTTTATTCAACAGGTAAAAAGTATTCACCCAGAATGCAGAATGCAACAGGAAATCTATGAAGAAGAAAAGAAGTGTATGGAACGTTTAAAGAATGCCAATACAGTGAGTTTAACAGGTGAGACAATGGCTTATAGTCACTCATTACTGGTTCACTGGTACTTCTATACTTGCTTACTGAGGACATGATGATGTGGCATAAAATAGCACATAGTACGATTTGAGTTTTGGTTAGTGTCGTGCAGAACAACCCATGATACAAAAATGGTAGTTTCCTCTTTCAGAGGTTCTTTGAACCTCTGGTTCCACTTGGTTCTGGTGTTGATTGCTGAAAACTGGTAACACATTTTTCTTGCTGTTTTCAGATGTGAAATATACGATATTTGAAAGACCTAAAGTTAGCATTTATAATTTTAAAAAAAGTAAATGAACACACACAAATTCATTCCACAGCTAGGCTCACCCACATATATATGGTTCAGTGGTGGGTTGCTCCCTGTTCATTGCGGTTCTATAGAACTGGTAGTAAAACCGTCGGGAGGCTCTGCCCACTCGCTATGATGTCATCATGGGTGATTTGCGCATGCACAGAAGCTTCCGCGCTTCCGTTGCAAACCGGTAATAAAGGTAAGTGGAACCCACCCCTGATATGGTTCCATCCACATTATAGATTGTGATCACCAAAAAATAGTCCACCCCTGAGTGAGTTAGCTCTAACTCAACTGGAACAGCATGGTGTACCAGTTCCTATCTGGTGTACAAACCAACAAATGGGAATCAAGTTTCATAAACTTTCTCTCCTGCCATCTGCTGGCCATGTCAACATTTGCAGCCCTATATCTTAATCCTAAAAAGCAGCTCACATCAATGATATAAATAGTTAATCTACACACTCCTGTTAAAATTCCAGAGTTTTGAGATGTAAATCAGACCAAGATAAATCGCTTCAGAATTTTTTTCACCTTTAATATAATCTGTAAACTACACTGTTTAGTTGAAAAACAAACTGAAATCTTCTGGGGAAAAATAAAACTAAAAAACTTAGTTTTTTATGTAGCATGGTTGCATAAGTGTGCATACCCTTAAACCAGGGGTGTCAAACACAAGGGGCATGGGCTAGATATGGTTGGATCCAGTCTGCAGGGCCATCCTAGAAAACATAAGGGGACGGCCTGTGTCGCTTTGTCCCGGTCTACCCAGTGCAAAGAGGAAACATTGGACCAGCGTGGCTTCGTCCCGGTCTACCCAGTGCGAACAGGAAATATGCCAGCATTTTGGGGAGTGGTGTCAAGCTGGCCACGCCCCCCAGTCAGCCACGCCCCCCTCCGAGATCAACCACAACCATGATCAGCCCTCAATGAAATTGAGTTTGACATCCCTGCCTTAAACTAATACTTGTTGAAGCGCCATTTGATTTTATGATAGAATTCAGTCTTCTGAGGTAGGAGCCTATCAGCATGATACATCTTGCCTGAGGTATCTTTGCCGGCTCTTTCTTGCAAAAACACTCCAAATATGTCAGATTGCAAAGGCATCTCCTATGCATAGCCCTCTTCAGGTCACCCCACAGATGTTAAATAGGATTCAGGTCCGGACTGTGGTTGTGCCATTCCAAAATTTTGATCTTCTTCTGTTCCATTGTTTTGCTAATTCATCGCTTTGGGTCATCGTCACATTGAAGGGTGAAAATCTTCTTCATTTTCTGCATTTTAGCAGAGCCCTTTGTGCCAAAATTGACTAATATTTGGAATTGTTCATAATTCCCTCCACCTTGACTAAAGCTCCAGTACCAATTGAAGAAAAACAGTCCCAAAGCATAATGTTGTCAACACCGTGTTTCATTATGGGTAAGGAGTAATTCTGGTAGTATGTACAAGTAATGTTGTTTTTGAACCAACTATATTTTTTTGGAGTTATGGCCAAAACTTCAACCTTGGTCTCATCTAATCATAAGAAATTTTCCCACATGGTTTTGTCAGATTTGATGTAGGTTTTTGTAAATGTAATCAGACTTGAATGTAACTAGTCTTTGTTAAACAAAACTTCCATCTTGCCACCCTATCCCGCAGCCCAGGAATATAAAAAATATGGGAGATTGTTGTCACATGCAGTACACAATCAATACTTGCCAAAGATTTCTGCAGCTTGTTTAATGTTGCTGTAGATCTCTCTGCAATCTTTTGGACAGCTTTTCTTCGTTTTTTTCATCAGTTTAGAAGGACACCCAGTTCTTGGCAATGTCATTGTTGTGCCATATTTTCCCCACTTGTTGATGGCTGTCGTCACTGTTCCATGGCATATCTAATGCCTGGAATTTTTTTTGTATCTTTCTCCTAACTGACACCTTCCACAATGAGATCCCTTTGATGCTTTGTAAGCTCTTTGAAGACTAACTTTTTCTGTAAAAGACAACTGAGTAAATGTCATAAAAATCCTACTAGAACAACTGAACTTTATTCACCCAGTAGATCAGAGTCACTTTGATTAATGGCAGATATGTATTGACTACTATTTAACATCAATTTGAATGTGATTGGTTATTTCTGAACACGGCCACATCCCTACTTATAAGAAGGTATGCACACTTAAGGAACTATGTTATTGTAAGTCCCCCCCCCACACACACAAATATTTAGGTTTGTTTTTCAATTGAATTGTGCAGTAGATAGATTATATTAAAGGAGGGAAAAATTCTGAAGTGATTTATCTTGGTCTGATTTTTTCTTTTTTTACATTTAAAAAAAAACAGGTATTTAATGGAAGCATGTAGACTTTTTATACCCACTGTAGAAGTATGTATACTCCACATCAGCAGAAAATATCCTTGGACAGTTTCTAGGATTCGAGCATTTTGGCAGGCCTCAGGGTTTTCAGCTGGTGGTTGCCATTCATATGTCAGCTGCCATTTTGTTTTTCTCACAATGCTATAAGCATTATAGAAGAAACAAACCATCGGTGCTGGAAAATGGTTCATGTGGATCATCCTTGGAAAAATAGATGGTGTTGCAAGTAATCTGTGGCACATACTATAATAAGATTAGAAACATGTAATTGGTATTCAACAAAGAAATCGGCCTATAGTTTTTTATTAATGTGGTATCTGCCCCTTCTTTTGGTATTAGGGAGATATACGCTTCTTTCCATGTGTTTGGTAATTTTGCCTCCATCAGCGCTTCATTGTATATTTCTAATAGCATTCCATTTAATAATTCCCCAAATGTTTTATAAAACTCCGTTGATAGACAGTCGGTCCCTGGAGTTTTATTATTTTTCTGTCTCTTCAGCGCTTCTTTTAATTCCCCTATCGTAATCTCCTTATTTAATAGTTCTTTTTCTTCCTCTGTTAGTATTTGCACTCCCTCTCCTTTTAGATAATGTTCAATTTCCTCCGTTGTTACTATGTCCTTCTCATAGAGTTTTTGATAATATTGGACTACTATCTCCTTTTTTTTCTCTAGGCTCTGATGGATCCTTCCCTCATCATCTTGTAGCTTCTGAATTGTCTTTTTTTCCTTTTCCTTCCTCAGTCTGTATACCAACCACCTCCCTGGTTTGTTTGTGTGTTGGAAATAGTTCTACCTTATATATCTTAAAGTAATTGCGTATTTCCCTTGTTCTAATATGTTCAGCTTGTGTTTTGCCGTTATCCATTTTACCCTTATTTGTTCATCCCCTGGTTTTCCTTGCAATTTACTTTCCCAATTTTTAATTTCCTCTCGCATTTTATTATATTCTTTTTCTCTCTCTTTTCTCCGTTTTGCATTATATGCTATTGTAAGGCCTTTTACATATGCCTTAGTTGTGTCCCATAAGTTTTGTAGGGAGGTGTGTTTTTTTGTGTTTTCCTTGTAAAACAATTCTAACTCCTTTTCCATATAATTCTTATATTCTTTCTCTTTCATCAACTGTATATTCATTGTCCATCTGTTTTTTCTTTTCTGCTGCCCCTTCCACGTCATCATTATTGGGTTGGGGTCCACCCAATCATTTGATTGAATTTCTACCGCTTCTATTTCCATCATTAATATACTGGATACCCATGCCATATCCAACCTAGACCAGGACTTATGTGGATTCGAATAATATGTAAAATTTCTAATTTCGGGATTATAAAATCTCCAGCTATCTATCATATTTAGTTCTTCCACATATCTATAAAGGTTCTGCGCAATACATTTTTCTTATTTTTATTTTGCTGGACACATTTATAATCTTTTCTTGCATCTAAAATAGCATTGAAGTCTCCAATCAGACATACATTTTCCATTTTTTGATCCATAATTTTTCTCGTGCACTTTTTTATAGAATTCTAATTTGTTTACTGTTTGGGCCATATATTACTACTAACAATATATTTTTAAAATCAAGTTTTAGCTCTATCATCACTATTCTACCTTCAGTATCCACATATCTTATATTGCTGTCTATTCCTTCCTTAACATATACCACTATTCCTCTTTTTTTTTCTTCTGTCAATGATGAGTATGCTGTACCTAATTTCTTATATTGTATATATTTTATATCTTGTTTTCTTATGTGTACCTCCTGGAGGCACACTATATCTAATTTTTGTTTCACAATTTTTTTAAAAATTTGGTGTCGTTTGGATGGTGAGTTGAGTCTATTTACATTTACTGATAGAATTTTTAGAGTTCCTTCCATTTTTTACTGACTTTCCTGTTGTTTCTTCTTTGTTTCTTCCTGTTCCCTTTTTTTGCCTCTCGTTGGCATTCCTCCTTCCTCCTGCGTCTCTCCTTCATCTTCTTTTCCTCCTTGTGTGTGGGGGGGGGGGGTTTCACGTTCCCACCTCTGTTTTCCTTTAATATTCCTTCCTCCCTCTTCTTTACTACTATTTGTTGCCTCGCTACCCGTCATTTGGTCGTATAGTTCCCTTGCCTTATTCTGCGAATCCACCTTTATTTTCTTTCCCTGCCACGTTACTAACATCCCTTCTGACGTCGTCCATCTAAAGGGTATATATCTCCTATTTAGAGATGTGGCCAGGAAACAATAGTCCTTTCGCAGATCTCTTATCCTTTTGGGAATTTGTTTCAGAGTAATTATTTCTTTATTCCTGTAGAACATAGGTTCATCCTTTGTTATTTTGTATACGATATC